GATGAATTACTATGTACCGAAAGACAGAGGTGGCTGGGGAGAAGTGAAGAAGGAGGAGGAGAGAGGCTTCACCTTCCAGCTGTCTCTGGAAGACTGAGTAGCTGATGATGCCATTTGTGGATGTTTAGTGCTCTTAAAAAAAAAAAAATCAATCCATTTATTCTTTGGTCAGTTTTTAATTTGGTGATGTGATAAAGTCACATGTAAACAAATATCTCATGCCCTAGAAACTTTTGAGATTAACCTAGAAATTGTGAATAAATGCTTTCTTAATTCAACATGTCTTCTCTTTTCTCTTTTGAGTGGTTAGGAAACAGTGCAATCGAAATCTCATAGACTAAAAGCTTCCTTTTTTTTTTTTCCCAATAAGAACTAAAATTATCATTTATTTCCATGATTATGGCAGTTGAGCTTTTTTAGAAAAATACCGGTTATTGTGAATGTTGTTATTAAGGTCAGGAGAGTTACCAGCACTTCAAGTAGAAAGACAGACTGGAGCACTCTGGCTTTCCAAGGTGTCTTACTTGCCCCGCAACTCCACAAACCTACTGTATGTCGTGAAGCATTTCCTTTGTATTATCCCAACTCGTACTTAAAATCATAGAATCACAGAATGGTTTGGGTTGGAAGAGACCTTAAGGATCATCCAGTTCCACCCCCTCTGCCACAGGCAGGGACACCTTCCACTAGACCAGATTGCTCCAGGCCCCATCCAACCTGGCCTTGAACACTGCCAGGGATGGGGCAGCCACAGCTTCTCTGGACAACCTATGCCAGTGCCTCACCACCCTCACAACAAAGAACTTCTTCCTAATATCTAATCTATATCTCCCCTCTGTCAGTTTAAAGCCACTTGTTCATTTGCTTTTTCTGGGTGACCAGCTTGGTTTGAAAAAGACTCTTTTCTACTTATTCTTGCACTGCCTTTGAAAATAAATGTATTCTGCATATTTCCCTTGGAAGTTAGCTAGCATTCATTACAGCATCTGGTTTGTCCTTTGTCTTTTTTTATTAAGCGTGTCTAGATACCCACATACATATTCAATTTGGGGCATATCTAATTTTGCCTTCACATAAATTTTTATTGCATTTGGTTTTTGTTGTTTTTTTTTTCCCCTGGTCTGTAATGTCTGAGGAACTTGTTGCAAGTTGAACCAAATCTTTTGTGTAGGAGTATATGTGTGTGCTAGAGGCAGAGAAGTGAAATGAATTGAAATTGCTGGAAAAGATCAACCAATAAAAGGGACCTAGGTAACATCATTATATAACAAGATATGGTGAAAAGTCAGGTTGGCACCATTTTTCATCTGAAAAAAGCAATCTCATGGAGCCATACAACTTCTTTGCAGCAGAAGTGTGGTGGATTTGTACTTGATTTTGTTGTTGAGCCTTTTCCTTCTTACCTAAGTGTCATAAGGAGCTTTCTTTGACTTGTGTGTGCGAGCTGCGAGGAACAGCACGAGGATGGGTTGTTTCATGCAATATTTACTGTGTATGATCACAAGAGAAATTCTTCCAAAATGCCACAAACAAAATAAATGCCAAGTATATATTACTTTAATGTCTCGTCTGGTATCAAATCCTTGGAGGCCTATTTAAAAAGTAGCTGTAGTGAATATTCCTGCAGTAGAGAGGGAGATGACATTTCGTAATTATGCAATGTCTCCCCAACCATAAGATTTTAAAACTTAGTGTAGTAAGACTATTTTTTTATTTTCCTTTATTTGTTTGATCTCCTCTTAAAGCAGTGTAATCTTTTGCCATAATAACACACAGGGGGGTATTTTTTCATTTATGTATTGCCTTCCCAAACCTAATAGCTGTGGAGCAGTGGCATAGACACTAAAATGAAGGATGCTTCAAATGTAATTTGAAGTTATATGAATTTCGTATGAATGAAAATGTAATATTAATGTAATATGGATTTAAAAGGCAAGAGGATGTTGGCATAATGTTGCTGACTCTTCTAATTTTATCAGAAGACTTGTGATCTATGCTGAACCTTGTTTTACCTTTCTGCTCCATGGCTCTGTTTTAACATTTTAGTATTTTAATATCTGTATTGTGGAAAATCATAAAAGCCCCAGCTGTGGCCCAGAGCCCTGCTGTACAGCAGCTGTGCATGCAGAACAAAGAGGATGCTCCATATCCCAGGACATTGGACTCTTGAGGTCTGTGGAGGGAGATCAGCTCTTCTAGCACAGGGAAAGCTGCAGAACACTGACCATTAGTGCTGTTGTCCTACTTAGGAAAAAAAAATATAAAAAAATTGAGAGTTAATGGATTATTTTGAAGTCAGACTGTGACACATGGGACTGGCTCCTAGACAAGGACATCTCTGGCCTTGCAGGAGGGATGATGAGCTCCGTCAGAAAGAGAAGCCTGGACCTGTGGTACAAAGGGATGGCTAGGTTCAATTTGTTTTTTCTAAGCAGTAAAGAACATCTGAGGCAGCTCCTGGGCAGGGACGCAGGTAGATATGCTTGTCTGACTAAACGTGACCATAGGCTGAGCATCGGGTGTATATTCAGTCATTGTGTTGAACTTGGAAGTAGTTGATGCTAGGGAGCAGGTTTTCCTGGCCTCACAGAACTGCCAAAAGCAAGAATACTTTAGCCTGTATTCATCTTTGCTAAATGGGGCTGCCAAAAGAAAAGTGGAGAGGGTGAGCTGATAGGTCCTTGAAACTTGTTTTGAGGCACAGAGCTTGCTGGAGGCTGTGCTGGAGCTCACTGCTGTTGTTGACCTGCTGCGCCCCTCATCCCCTTTCCACCCCCCACTTCCCTCCCCTCTGCCTGATGGGAGGGTATGAGCATGGGGGGGGGCACCTTTTGCTCTATTGCCCATTTGGTTAGTCTTGAGTGGCCCCACCAAGCCATTATATTTGCTGACCTGGTGGTTGTCCAGGGCTGGGTCACCTTGTATTATTTGACTGAAGTCCCAGGAGATGAACTTTTTATGAGGGCATGGAGGGATAGGATGAGAAGGAATGGTCTTAAACTGACAGAGAAGAAATTTGGATTGGATATTAGGAGAAGTTCTTTCCTGTGAGGGTGGTGAGGTGCTGGCACAGGTTGCCCAGAGAAGCTGTGGCTGCCCCATCCCTGTCAGTGTTCAAGGCCAGGTTGGAGACAGGGGCTTGGAGCAACGTGGTCTAGTGGAAGGTGTCCCTGCCCATGGCAGGGAGCTTGGAACTGGATAATCTTTAAGGTCCCTTCCAACCCAAACCATTCTGTGACTTGGGAACACATCAGTAATTGAGGAAACGTCCATTCCCTGCATGAGCTCTTCTGCCTGTCCTGGTGCTCTGCAGACAGGTTCTGCCAAGGAGAGGTTTGTTTCTTTATTTGTTAAACACTTGCTGAAGAGGTTAATCTAGGCCAAGCACATTGAAAATGATATAAATGTAGTAACTGAGATAGACAGGGTGATGCAAGGTAGCTGAGAAAGTCAGGCCTAGTCATCACAGCCTGAAATATTCTCTTCCTGTTCATATAGTTGACCTGACACTGTCTTTTTCAGGACCCTTTGCTTGAGCCTTTGAATTATTTCAGCCTCTGGAGAGGAAGGGTCAGAAATTTGAATTGTTAGCAGGCTTGTATCAGTTCTGGGCTTTGTGCAGCAGTTGATGCCACAATGGACTGTGTTAACTGGGAGTAGTGTTCAATTTGGACCAGCAATGGCATGGTGATGGGATTCTGCAGGGGTACCAGTGATGCATCCCAGGGATCCCACGTGTGTCTGAGGTGTGTATTAATTGAGCAATTGCAGATTGAGCAAAGAAGCAGTGGAGTGGTGTGAGAGGGAGGCAATGTGCAGTGCAGAGCCCTGGAAATGGAGCAGCAGTTGGGAGAGGTCACTACTGTTGGGGAAAATGCATGGATGTTATCCCAGCAGCACGGGTCTCCTGTCCATGGGGAATGGGGACAGGAGTCCCTTTGGGCTCAGTTCTAATTGTTCTGCTTGCTGGTTGTGGTTTAAGACTTCACTTAAGACTTTAAGGGGCATCTGCTTTTACTGAAAAGGAGCAGTGTGCTGATGAGTAGACAGGGTGAAATGCTGGGTCTTTAGAACTCACCACAATTATGTTTTATCTCTTCCACTGTTTATGTTACTTTATTTGGCAGTAGGATTGTAATTCAGTTTCTTTATCTCTGAAAATTTTAATAGTTGTGAATTTCACCATTCAGCAATAAAGGAAATCATAGAACCAGGAACATGCTTTGGAGACTTGCTGAAGCAGAGCTGTAATTTGTATTTGAGTATTAGCAACAACATGGAAGTTTTGCTACATGTACAACATGTAAAACAGAATAATTTCCTGTAGTTCAGGTTGCATATGCAAGAAAATTAAAGTAAGGGTTCTGCTTAAACTTAACCTCTGGTCCAAATCCTGGGCCCTCTGACAGCAACAGGATTTTGGTATCGACTTTGAAAGGAAGCAGCATCAGTCCCACTGTTTCTTCTGCTTAATTTTAATGGTTTAATTAAGGCTTCTCATTTGCATAATGAGTGTGATAATACATTTAGAAAGATATATAATGGAAAGAACAATAATGCAGAGTTCATTTGGAAATTGAAACAAAAATCACTGGAATGCAAATGAGTTTGTGAAGGTTTGGCTCAGGGCATTGCTGGGTATTAATAAATACTGTGGCAATATCTTCTGGCAATGAATGTAGACTCATAGAATGGTTTGGGTTGGAAGGGACCTTAAAGCTCATCTAATTCCAACCCCCCTGCAATGAACTGGGACACCTTCAAGTAGATCAGATTGCTCAGAGTCCTGTTCAACCTGGCCTAGAAGGTTTTTGGAGGTGAGGCATCCACCACCATATGCATGTGATGAGTAAGCAGAATAGTATTTTGCATGGTGAAGATACTCATCCCCAGTGCTCCCATCTAGGGGTCTGCAGGGCCCCAGACTGCTGCAGTGCAGACGGGTCTGTGTGAGCCCCAGGCGGTGATGCTCACCTAGTTTTTCTCTCTGGGTGTTTCAGCTCCCCCCACTGTGCGGATCGTGCACTCAGGCCTGGCATGCAACATCGAGGAGGAGCGCTACTCGGAGAGGGTCTACACCATCCGTGAGGGTGAGACGCTGGAGCTGACCTGCCTGGTCACTGGCCATCCTCGGCCACAGGTGAGCCCCCACCGTGCCCGGTGACACTGCTTCTTTCCTCTGCTCTGTCTGTCCCTGAGTCTGCACAAGTTGGTTTCATCTTCTGCTAAAGAGGCTCATCAACTTGTGCTGACCTGGTGTATGGGTCCCCATCACCACCCCATTGTGTCTAGGGCACCCTGTCAGTAGGTTATATTAGATCAGGACCTTTCAAGACCTGTGCGGGTGTAAATGCTTTATTCTCCACCATGCTCTGCTTTTCCATTTCTATATTTTCTTTTCCTCTTTGAACCAAACCCACTGTCTGTTCCCTCAAAGTGACCATGTCTTTGTCTTCTGCTGCTTCCCCTCATCTTGCTCTGTTGGCAAACAAGCTGCATGCTGAGACCTGAGGGCATGCCTGTAATTAGCTGATGTGGCTACGTTTCACAGCTCTCATGCTTGTATGAGAGTATGAACACCAAAATACCTTGGAAGGAATTTCTTTGCAAGGTGAAGAATTGAACACCTCTCTCTTGAAATTGCCGAGAACAGGTAGGAGCTGTAAAGTACTGCTGGGGAAAGGGACTGAGAGACCTCAAGTCTGCAGACTTGATGTTCCTCCAAGACAGTGAGACATGCTGATTCTTCCATAGCTGTTTCCAGTTTAATGAGAAGATTTAAGAATGAAGAAGTTGAAGTTTAGCTTGTGCTGTTTCAGAGAAGGCATAGGTCTGGCTGTGTCTTAGAAAATTACATACAGTTTTACACTGAGCTGTAGTCACACATTAAAGCTATGCTATAAACCAAGACATTTTTCTTTTGAATTAAGTAATCTCTGTCTAGCCTTTGCCAGATGAAGGAGAAAGAAAGCAGTAGCCTAAAAAACCCCAAAAGACTCGACTAAGTGTCCGGTTGTGTGGTGTGGTTGACACACTGGGGGGAAGGCATGTCATCCAGAGTGATGTGGACAGGCTGGAGAGCTGCGTCTGTGCCAGCCTCATGAAGTTCAACAAGGCCAAGTGCAAGGTCCTGCACTTGGTTCAGGGCAGTCCCAAGAACAAATACAGGCTGGGCTGAGACTGGATTGAGAACAGCCCTGAGGAGAAGGACTTTCGGGTGTTGGTTGACAAGAAGCTCAACATGAGCTGTCAATGTGTGCTTGCAGCCCAGAAACCAACCATGTGCTTGGCTGCATCAAAAGGAATGTGACCAGCAGGTCAAGGGAGGTGATTCTCCCCGTCTACTCTGCTCATGTGAGACCACCCCCTGGAGTACTGTGTTCAGTTCTGGGGCCTCCAACATAAGAAGGACATGGACCTGTTGGAGTGAGTCCAGAGAAGGCATGAAGATGCTCTGTGGGCTGGAGCACCTCTGGAGTGGAGACAGGCTGAGAGATATAAGATTGTTTAACCTGGAGAAGAGAAGGCTGCAGGAAGACCTTAGAACAGCTTCTAGTGCATAAAGGGGCTAACAAGAAAGCTGGATAGGGGCTTTTTAGAAGCGCATGTAGGATTAGGACAAGGGGGAATGGCTTTAAAAACTAGAAGATACAATTCTATGATGGTAACACCCCAAATAAGAACAATGATGTTCTGTTATTGTGAAGTTAAATGTTCACTGCTTCATAAGTTATGAAAAGTATTTATTGTCCTGCTGTTGTGTTTTCTGCAATTGCTGATTGCCCTCTTCTCTCTGATCGTGCTCACACCATGGAAGACTGGTGACGCATTGAACGTTGTTGGGGAAGATGCTGGTGGCTGTTCATCGAAAGAGCCAAGTGATAAAACTTGGGCTGACACAGACCTCATTCACAGAAGTTGATCATAACGTTTTAATATTGCACTGACTGATGCAGGAAGAGAGCACCTACTGCCTGCGGACACCTGGGTGCTTTTTAGGTCATTTGTTAAGGTGTTTGGTGCTGTTGAACTTGGGGCAGATGGGATCTGCTTCAGGCTGGCTGCTGTGTCCTGCCGCATCCCTGAAACAAGTCCATGCCTCTCAATCCCTGTTAGTAATGTTGGATTTATTCTGCTTTCTCAAATGTTTCTTTTCTAGGCTTATTTAACAACTTTTTAATGTCCAAAGCAGATGGCTCTGGATGCAGCAGTTTGTGGCGTACCATCTATTTGGGTGGAAATAAATAGCATGTTCATGTGCAGGTAAAAGGGAGCAGGATAAAGGCAGATTGACACTTCCAGTGAGCTTCCTTGAAGAAAGTTTCTTTCTCAACCCATCTGCTCCAGCAAAGCTGCCCCGCAGCCTGCAAGGTTTGGTGCAGCTCAAATCAAAGATGCCTCTCAAACCCCCAGCCCAAGGCAGCTTCAGAGCCAGCTGCCAGGAAATGCTTTGGACCAGCTATGAAAGGTCCGATCTCAAGCAGTAACAAAGCTTACGATGCTGCTGAATCAAAAAAAAGCTGTTCAACCAAAATCTCATATCGAGAAAGCAACCACGTGGCTGCTCTTTTTCATAAAAGTCTCTATTTTCTCCTCTGGGATTCAGGATGAAAAATTGATTTATCTCTGTTTTAGCTGTTTATAGATTTTCTTTGTCAGCCAGCACCTCGGTTGCTTGGTCCCATGTTACAGCTCTCTCACACTCGCAGTATTTTTTGCAGATAAACTGCCTGGGAACAACGGAGTAGTTTTGGTAGTCTCAAATGGATGATTCTGCAGCAAAATACGGGAGGCTTGGCAAGACTGCATTTGAACATTAGCCTTTTTATGACCTTCCTATTAAATATCCATTCAATTTTAGTGCTCCAGAAAGTATGGGAAAAAAAATAATAGGGCCTAAGACACCATAGGTTTTTCCATTGCCAGATTTAAACTTTGGCATGGAAGTCTGGAGGGCCTGCAGCCCCTTGGACTGGTTGCCCAAGAAATTTGGCTTCTAGTAGACAAGACTGCCAGGAATCTCACTAATATTTGTGCGAGTTTTGTCAATGGGGCTGCTGGGAAAAACCACAGATGAAGGTCAGGCAGGAGATCAGGGTGGATGTAAAATCAGCAAGCTGGTGCTCACCATTCCCAGCTGCCAGAGAACGACTCTTACATGCCAGTAATTACTCTTGGTATTTTAAATACAGATAGTTTGAGGTTTTTATTTATTTTGCTTGTTGAATACATTCTGGCTCTTCAGCAGGAGGTCTGCAGTGTGTTTCTGTTACGAACAAGAGATAGTTGCTGGCTTGAAGAGGGGATACGGCATTTATTTTCAAACTTTTCGTTTTTATATGTGTGGAATTTATGTATGAAACTTGACAATATCTTGTTGGATTCTCATGCTCAGACAGCCTTGACTATGAGGTGACTTTGAGGAGAAGTATCCAGCAGGATGCCTCCTATTCTTATATATGGAAGTGGTGAAAGTGCATTTTTATTTTGTTGTGTATGAGACTTCCATATACATTTTGTGGTAATTGCCTATATTTTCAGTATTTCAATTTTTTACTGATTTTTGCACAGAGGGTTATCAGATTTGCAAATTCTATGGAAATTATTTTCAAACCGATATTTTATCAGACCTTTGGAAGTGAGTTTATAAAATACGTAATTATGAATCTATTCTAAGAAGGCTGTTCAACTTGCAAGTTTTTCTCAAACTTTTTTCAATTATTATTGACATACATAGAAACTTCTTTTGTTTTAAATGCTGTAAGAAATAAGCAGCCCAGAACTAGGCATTTGTAAAATCCCCTGTTGGTGTTCATTGTATTTCCTTCCCCCAAGCAGAAAACACTTATCAATTAAGGAGAAAAAGAAAGTGTGCTGTGAGTTAACCTATGAGACCATGTGTCCTGCATCTCTCCTTGCAAGAACTGGTCTTTGCAGATGCTGGCGTGGCTTGGACCTCTGCCTTGCAAAAGCTTTTTGGTCTCCAGAGTTATTCGTGGGACTGTGTGTTCAGTTCTTGGAGACTGTATCATATTCAATTCTCCCACCACAGCAGCAGCAGTGAGTGTCCAAGTTGTGTTGTCATAATGACTGCCAGGTGATGCTGTCCATGGATATACATGGTGTACCATACTGGTGTTACTGCTGGCTGGAAGTCCTCGCAGGGTTTTAGAATCATAGAATCATAGAATAGTTAGGGTTGGAAAGGACCTTAAGATCATCTAGTTCCAACCCCCCTGCCATGGGCAGGGACACCTCACACTAAACCATGTCATCCAAGGCTCTGCCCAATCTGGCCTTGAACACCGCCAGGGATGGAGCATTCACAGCTTCCTTGAGCAACCCATTCCAGTGCCTCACCACCCTTGCAGTAAAGAATTTCCTCCTTATATCCAATCTAAACTTCCCCTGTTTAAGATTTAACCCGTTACCCCTTGTCCTATCACTACAGTCCCTAATGAAGAATCCCTCCCCAGCATGTTTATAGCCCCCCTTCAGATACTGGAAGGCTGCTATGAGGTCTCCACTCAGCCTTCTCTTCTTCAGGCTGAACAGCCCCAACTTCCTCAGCCTATCTTCATACGGGAGGTGCTCCAGTCCCCTGATCATCCTTGTGGCCCTCCTCTGGACTTGTTCCAACAGTTCCATGTCCTTTTTATGTTGAGGACACGAGAACTGCACACAATACTCCAAGTGAGCTTTCACAAGAAACCAGGTCACTTAAATCAATGAATTGCCATAGCCTGCTTTAGTCTTTTTTTTTAATTTTTTTTCCTTCCTTTTCTTAAATGATTAGTTTCCTTTTTTCCTGTTGTGGTATGAATATCCGTTTGGCTAATTTGGGCCAGCTGTCCTGTCTCTGCTCCCTGCTGGCTTCTTGTGCCCTTCCTCACTGGCATAGCATGAGAGACTGAAAAGTGCTTGATCAGGGTAAGTGCTACTGAGCAACAGCTAAAACATTGGTGTGTTATCAGCGTTGTTCTCACACTAAAGCCAAAGCACAGTGCTGGACCAGCTGCTAGGAAGAAAATGAATTGTATCCCAGCCAAAACCAGGACAGCCAAGCACTGTCCTATACCACTCCTTAAACTTCAGCAGCAATCAGATAAGGGATCATTAGGAATTATTTTCTGAAATAAA